TTTGTGTTCGACATAGGCAATTTCGGGGTTGAAATTATAAAAGAATAAAGAAGAAAAGCAAAGGAGTATTAAGAATTTCTTGTTTTGCCTACATTGTATACATTTAGTCTGCTTTTGATTTTAGTGAAGTGCGAACAGTGAACAATTTTTAATTTTTAAAATCAAATAAAAAACAAAAATATAAATAAAATATAATTTGTAATTTCACATAAACTCACTGTAAGTATATGCAAAATTAAGTAAATATATTTAAAATGATAATTGTAATTTTTGTTTTGTATTATGTAGAAGCTACTGCGTCAAGAACGATTAATTGACCAATGTGCTGCGAATGCAGTCATTCTAAAGCAAGGGGTAATCAGCTGTAGTCATGTAGTCAGCTGTTTCAATTGGAAAATTTTACAATTCAAACTGAGGACGATTTAATTCAATTTAATGAAGAAATCACTGCCGTTGAAGTAGTTGTAAGTTAAATTATATATGTTTCTTACTTTCAATTTCAACTTATTAATATATTCACATGTAACAATTTTACTAATTCATACATTTCTTTTCATCTATTACGTTATTTATAGACTGCATCAATGAGACGCGTTATTAAAAAACAACCAATTACGCGAAAAATTTCCTGGAATTTTGGAGAATGGTACCCAAGGCAAGAAGTCCTTAAGAGCGTTAGAGAATGTGACAGCAGCACTTTTTGGTATGGTATATTGTACATAATTAACTTTAGCGTATACAATAACATACTTTTGTATTTACAGATGCTTTAAGTACAGATGGTAAGCCGGAACAAGTGATCGAGTCGAGTCTGGAAATCTCTTCAAGGTGTTAGTAACAATTTCCAGAAAAATATTCATCTATATAAGTATGTTATATTTTTTTATGTAAATATTAATATTTTAATTGTATAAAACATAAATATAAAATATAATTTATTCAAAAAAATTTATAGTATTTTATTTAAAAATTAATAGCATAGGTAAAATTGAAAATTTAAGCGAACATATCAGCGCTGATATGTTGCATTACAAATTCGAAAAGGTAAGCTAACATGTCAGCGCTGATATGTTCCATTACAAATTCGAAAAAGTAAGCGAACATGTCAGCGCTGATATGTTGCATTACAAATTCGAAAAGGTAAGCGAGCATGTCAGCGCTGAAATGTTGCATTACAAATTTGAAAAGGTAATCGAACGATTCAGCGCTTGCCCGCAATGACATGCACGTGTTAAAGTAATTAGAAGTTTCATTTGAATAATCAGCGCTAGGCATTACCATTCAGCGCTGAGGGAATCGATTCCCTCAGCGCTGATAGTCCCGCTGGGATACCGTGCCTTCATGTACGTACATTGCGCTCGTATGCGACGAGTACACTCATAAAATACATTGACTTCTGCAGACTGTTTTTGGCCTTAACATTTCCACAAATTTATTTTGTTTTCATTGCGCACACCACTGTTTTTGTTTTTTCTTTTTTTTTTCGTTATTGGTTTTGTTTTTGTTTTATCTACTTTCGGCTTTTTCGAGCTTTGTATTGTGTGCAGTGTATGTGTGTTGTGCTATGTCTGCACTCGTGTAGCAGTCGTTTGTAGCGGCAGCAATAAAATTGACTCATACCCGACCTACCCACACCACGTTTGTCTTAAGCACTTTTGTCTGTTTTGTTAAGCAAGCAACTCTGCTATTCTGTGCGCTATTGCCATAGAGTTGCGCTGTTATATGTCTTGTGTAGTCCGTTAGCATTAGCAGAGTGCAGTGCAGTGCTGTGCTGTGCCGACTGTTTGGCCTGTTCAAGGTGGGGAGGCTCTGCATGTTAGTTGGATGAATGGTTGATGGCTCTGTACGCTTGCAATAGCAGCTTTTTATTGTGTGCAAGATTCACTTTTGGCAAAATTTTTTAGTCTCCTTAACGACGCCATGTCGTACGCATTTGAAATTTAGTTTTAAATATTTATAAATATTTTTAAAAATAATAATATAACTCTCTCTCTCTCTTTGCATATAAACAATACGTTTGCTATTAAATATATTTAAGTGTTTCTTTAAAAAAATAAGAACAAAATTTATGTGCAATCAAATTTGTAACGGTTTCACCGGGTTAGTTTAATTAATATATTACTTTATATTAATAAATAAATGTTAATTCAGACATATATTAATTTAATATCAATTAAAATAACAAATAAAAATTTTCAAATAATTAAATAAAACAATATTAAAAGTAAAGAAAATTTTTTTATTGAAATAATAATTATTATATATAACTAATATAATTAATTATTATTTACAAACAAAGAAAAATCCTTCAAATTTATAACTTATTAAATAAGACAAAATTATTCACAAAAAACTTTTAATAATATCATAGTAATGATGGTTAGTTAATAAATTTAATATTATTAAAACACACAAAAAAAATTACACGAATAAATAATTTAAAAAAATAACAAAAAATTACAGAAACATTATTAAATCAAAAACAAAAAAAAAATTTTTAAATTTATAAATTTTTAAATAAGACAAAATTATTCA